CCCGGCTGAGGCAGTCAGTTGCTGGCCATTGGATGGCCGCTCATGGTGGCTCACGGCAGCTCTTGCTGGCTGCCGGCCTCCAGCCACTCACACTGGCTGCCGGTCACTCACGGTAGCTCACGGCAGCCCACTGCAGCCTATGCCATCGCCAGCCACTCATGGCAGCCCAACTCCACGTTGAGCTTTTGTTCACCATCTCAATTGTAGAGGACGCAGTGTCACTGGCCCATGTGGGAACCGAACCGGCCGCCCTGCTCTCAGAGCTTGCACTCCCAAGCCACTCTTAACCAACGAGCCACTCAGCTGGCCCATATAAAATTCTTAAAAGATAATACAAGAGTAAATCTTTGTGACCTTGAGTTAGTCAAAGCCTCCTTGATAGGACATCAAAAAGCACAGGTAACATAAGAAAATGGATACATTAGACTTCATCAAAATTAAAAACTACTTCAATGGACACCATCAATAAAGTGAAAAAGACAACCCACAGACTGGGAGAAAATGTTTGCAAGTTGAATATTTGATAAGGGACTTATATTCATAATATGTAAAGAACTCACAACCTAATAATAAAAAGACAACCGAATTAAAAAATAGGCCAAACGTTTAAGTAAACAGTTCTCCAAATATATACACGTGGTCAATAAGCACATTGAAAAGATGCTGATCATCATTAATCATTAGGGAAATGCAAATTAAAACCACGATGAGATGCTACTTAATCACTAGCATGGCTACACAGTAGTCCCCTCTTATCCACAGGGCATACTTTCCAAGACCCCCAGTGGATGCTTGTAACCACAGATAGTATCAAACCCTACATATACTATGTTTTTTTCTGTGAATACATACCTATGATAATGTTTAATTTATAAAGTAGGCACAGTAAAAGATTAACAATAACTAATAAAATAGAACAATTATAACAATATACTGTAATAAAAGTGATGTGAATGTGGTCTCTTTCAACATAGCTTATTGTACTATGATGATATGAGATGATACGATGCCTATATGATGAAATGAAGTGAGGTTCTCAGAATGGCATGCAATTTAAAACTTATGAATTGTTTATTTCTGGAATTTTCCATTTAATATTTTTTCCTATGGTTGACTGCAGGTAACTGAAACTGCTGATATGGGGGGACTACTGTAATTTTAAAAAAGAAAAATAAGTGTTGGTGGAGAAACTGGACCCCTCATCCATTGCTGGTGGGAAAGTACAATGGTGCAGCTGCTTTGGAAAACAGTCTGGCAGTTGCTCAAAAGGTTTAATACAGAGTTAACAAATGACCTAGCAATTCTACTCCTATGTAGATAGCCAAGAGAAACGAAAACGTGTACACAAAAATGTGTACATGAATGTCCATAGCAGCACTGTTCAAAATAATCAGAAAGTAGAACCCAAATGTCCTTCCACTGATGAATGGATAAACAGAATTTGGTGTATATACAATAGAGTTCTATGAAGCCATAAAAAGAATGAAGTGCTGATACATGCCGCAACATGATGACCCTTGAAAACTTTATACCGAGTGAAAGAAACCAGACACACTAGACCACATATTGTATGATTCCTTTTATATGAAATGTCAAGAACAGGCTGCTTGCTGGTTAGAAACTTTGATCATATTTGACAAGCTACCCATCGACCAGCACCAACCACAAGAACGGCCATCTGTTTCTTGGCTTCTTTGGGGAGCTGAGTATGTCTGTACCACTAAGTCTGGGAATTTTCCCAGATGTATATAACTGACCAGTAAAGCCAGCAATGCTTTTATCTGGGAGTCATCAAAGCTGACATTTAGAAGAGACTAGGATGACCATCTTATCCTACTCAGTTTTTCAAGTGGGGAACGAAGCCAAGGGCCACTGAGTGGCTCTTTTAAACCCACAGCTTAACAATGGCAGCATTTTCTCTTACATTTCATGTGTAACAGATTTTGGTTGAATTTTAGGTCAGGGTCCAGCAAACTACAGCCCATAGGCCAAAGTCACCACCATCTGTATTTATAAATGAAATTTTATTGGAACTCGGCCATGGCCATGTGTTTATGTATTGTCTGTGCTGCTTTTGATTGACAACAGAATTGAGTAGTTGCAACAGAGACTGTCTGGCCAGCAAAGCCTAAAATATTTATTCTCTGGCTCTTTATAGAAAAAAAATTGCCAAGCCCTGCTCTCGGTTAATGAGAAAAAAGAAAATTGGAATAATGTTTGCTTTCATCTGATTTTCTTTATTACATAAATAGGTAGCCGAAATGCTACCTACATTTAAACTTGGATCTCAGAAGACTCTTTAGACTTTGCATAAGTTCTTTTGATTCTTTGTTTCAATCCTAATTTAGAGACAGTCATAGAATTTGCCTCCCACTGAAATATGTTAATATTTTCAAGGTGTTAATGAGTTCCAGTTTGGCTTTTGTCATTTTCCCCATCCCCAGTGGTTGTGTTCGGTGATTTCTGATGAATCATTACTGTTAGTGTACACACTAGGCATTTCTGGATTTAGGCTTCAAAGTTTTGACTGTTAA